AGTGACTTTGAACGCGTTACAATAATAACAGCTATTAAACAGACGTATTATTATCGTGCGTATAGAACGAATCTGTGACCATATCGGCTGCAAAATAAAAACACACGTGTGGCCGGATATGGGACAACAAGGTCTCGTCGTCAGTCGCGTATAATGACTACGGCGTTTACGAGGCGTCGTAGTGCTATTATTACTATTATAGTAATATCAAAATATAATAATAATGTTGTGTAGAGAATAATATTATTATGAATTATGATGTTATGTGTGCGAGTTGTTCGGGACTAAATCGTCGATGCGATCACTTCAGCCGCCGCTGAACAAGTCCGCGATGATTATATAATAATAATATTATATTATATCATTATCATAATTTATAGCCTTATATAGGCCACCGTATTAGTCGTCAAAATATTACACGACACTGAGTCATCGCACAGACAGCAACGCCATTAACTGCGATGTTGCGGAGTTATCGATTGTGTACGCGAATATACGAGCTATGATATTATAGGAATATTATGAATGTGTACTACGAATATCAGTTGAATTAATAATATTGGTGTGTTTTCATATTTGCAAGTCAGCACACGACGTCCACTTAAAAACCAGTAGCGAGGAAAATTATACCTATAATATATTTATCGATCGTTTGACGAATGGCGACAGTATACAATTTTTACTCGCATTCGCATAAAATAGTGCAGTAGGTATGCATGATAATATATATATATATATAATAGGTATTTGTGTGAGCACGCGTCGATCGCATGTGCATAACTCGTTAAAATAATAATGTATTCTGAATATTATAATAAATGATGGTAATATTTTTAAAAAAAAAACCAAAGAAATGCTAATAAATGTGAGCATACGTTTTGAATTTAAAAACGGTCGTGGGTTCGATTTTTGTGTAAACCAAACCATTTTATACGACTAAAAATATCGAATATATTACAATGATACATAGAACCATGATAGTCCATAGCAGAGGCGGCCCGGTAGGTATATGTGATTTCCTGCGACCCGCTGCAGTGTCAGCGACTATCACGCATACAAAGAGCGATCCATTTGAATTTGTCTACAACACTGCAATAGTTGCAATCCAGAAAAGTGTTTTGATTAAAGTATATACAAAATAATAATTCGGTAAATAAACAAACGAAAAGTCAACGAGATGAGTCGTAAACTCATTCAAAGCGATGAACATAAACCGCGACATAATAACGCATTCGAGGGGGGATATGGGGAATGGATCAGCTGAACTTTACTTATTTCTATATTTTCTATATTTGAAATAATGAATATATATTCCTTCTCCCCCCCACAGTGAAAATGCCTGTCTACACCATTGAAAGCATTTAGGTATTGTAAATCATAATATAATGTTGTGCATTTTTACAATAAAATACAGTCGACTGTGTGGTGTACTTACACATCAAAAAACAAACACTATTTCAATTCTTTGAGACAAAAATCACTTTAAAACGACTACAAATGCTTGACATTTATTACATCATAATATTCTCCGTTCGTAATCAAGAATTTAGAAAACGTGGTGATTCGAATTCTTTTGCTTTAATGTATATATAGTGTATGCTCAACCGAGAACTAATGGATAGAACCATTTGTATAATAGTTTTTGCATGAGGTATCACTGGAGATTCTTCGGCTCGATCGGCGCACGACCGTCGTGATTCAAAAAAAAAAAAGCATTCAATAAATATTTATTTTCCAATTGTTTGGCTCGACACGAGCTCGGTAGGTATTCGATGACATTATCTTTGTAAAATATTAAATGTATGTATGCTGCAGTGTCCGTCAAACGTCAAACGACGAGCACTCGACCTGCGACGTCACCGAACGATAAATTAATAATAATATTATAATTATTAAAGTTTACAAGCGAGGCTCTGTGCGACGACAATCTAGACACGCACGTCTTAAAGACAACACATTTTGGAGAGAAAAAAATGAATAAAAAAAATCCTCCAAGAATCGTCATTTAGTATACAAAGAATAAAATTAAACGAAAAACCTTGCAGTCTCGTATATAGAATATAATATATTATATGCAATATAATCGACGTGTGAACGACCTCCCATCCACCCAAGTGAGTGTTCGGACCGCGGCGGCATTACTCACTTTAAGTGTGATCGTCGCGTTAATTAACGCGAGTACATAAATCTCGTTTGGTTTAAAAACAAAAAACCGAATAATTGTGCAATTACAATATTATATTCCCGGATTGTTTCTCGTCGAGCGAGAGGAGCACGAAAAGCGCCCATTAATATTCGTTAGGTCAGGCTTGTCGTAAATGTCATATAGGTACAGGGTGATCCGTTTAAAGTAACTCAAAAAATATCCTAACGTTTATCAACATATTTTTTTTTTACATAATTTTAAGTGGTTAAAAACTACATTTTTCTTAAAAATATATATTTTTTTACAATTTTTACTACCGTTATCATAATTTTTTTTTTTAATAACAACGTGCAATTTATTTCAGTATTCCAAAGTAAAATATTTTTTTTTTAAATACTTCGATGAATAGAAATTGAACTTTAGGCCAATAGTTTATAAGTACGAGTAGACTCATAAGTTATAACTAACAAACTAGGTACTTATCCAAAATTTGATTTTTATAGTTCGAAATACTCCGAGTAATATTCTGCATCGGAATATTATATGAAATTAAATACGTATGTTGTTGTTTTAAAGAAAGAAAAACTTTTTAAAAACAATAACGATAAAAAATGGTAAAAATAACATTTTCTCCCAAAAATGTATCACCTGAAAGTAGGTACATAGTAAAAGAAATATTTTTAAAAAATAACGTTAGTGTTATCCGAAATAACGAGTGTTGCTCGTCAAACGTGTCACCCCGTACAATATAACATGGCGTACCTACACGTATATACGACACAGCAAAGTACATTGTACACTTAAATTACATTTAGTCGTCGTATATAGTCTTACATTTCGTTCAATTATTGCCCTCTCCTATCGCGGCTGCTGCAGCGGACGGACCAACGCGTCGCCGTTCGGCGTGTGTATAAATATTATTTTTATTTTTTACTATCGTGATTGTATTGCGCGATTGTTGCACGAATACGAGTAGTTTCATACGAACACATAATTATTTCGGTCCGCAGTCGTCGGTCGTGTCGTTCATAATGCGCGAGATTACAATATTATATTATTATTATTATTATTATTTCATAGTCGGCGGTCCTGTCGATCGCCGCCGCGACCATACGCGTTATAAATGAGTGTGTACATAATATAATATATTATACTAATAATATGTAATACCATATAATATTAAACGCGTATATTACGCGTACACGCGAAAATTGGTTTTAACGTCTTTTCATGATTGAAAAAAAACACACACACACACACACACACACGCCCGAATTATATCGTGTATATAATATAATAATAAAAAAAAACACACTCATCCGAGCCACGCACGGTGATTGCAGGTACATAATATTATAATACCCGATTGTGTACATAAAACTGGTTATAACACAGCGGCGGCGACGGCAAGTAATGACAACAACAAAAATGGCAGTCGTCTACCGCCCGACAAACTATATTACAACAATATTTTATCCGTGACAAGGAATGAGTGGGTAATAATCGAACACGTACTTATAATATACACATTTAGGTTTATTATACATGTATACCTCATACCAGCCATCACTATAGTCCAGAAATCATAAAACCGTATGTTATTCATGTTTTTTAGGTTTCCTCCGTCTTGTATACTTGTAACAATTCAAACGCCTAATAACGACCATATACCGCACAACGTGGTACTATTGTATGATAATAAAATATAATGATGATAAAATAAAACAAACGAAAAAATTCCTCAACAATTTTGTTAGTATATTTAGCTAATTTAGAATATAATGCATTATTATAGTATGTATATAATAAATTGTCTATATGATATAATATTACATAATAGCGTAATACCTATGATGTGTGTCGATACGATAGGATAATACTATATAATATTTTATTGTACATATAGGTACACGAGTTCACAATTTAACACGACTATTAACAACAGTAGCGCACATATCATTATTATATTTACCTACGCGTATAGATATTACAAAAAAATGACCGATCTATATTTAATATAAAACATAATATATTTAGTCATTGTAAATTTACCCCACATCTATTATGTATGTACATCTTTTTATTATACATACATAATATATATATATATATATATATATATAGGTCTCTATATGAAGATCGTGTTTCAAAAAATATATCGTACAGTCAGTGGTATTATAAACCTAAGCATAAGATACGCTATACATATAATTTACAGTGGTGGTAATGATAATAATAATAATAATAATATAATGATAATAATAATGATAACTAATACACACGCTAACCCAGTGACGCACGCGAAAGAGGAAGGGAGGTTAAGGGGTCGTGCACAACACACCCCTGAATATGTATTTTTTAAGAGTATTTAATGATTTCGTTATAGGGGAAGCACAGTGTTTACCGTTACGACCCCTCAGAAAATAAGAAACCACGAGTTCGCCACTGCGTCAGACCATAATAATTTTACGATATCATCGTAGGTAGGTACATAATATATACTATATAATACTATTAAAATCGTAACACTAATTAAGGTCGGTTTTTAGCACCATTCGTTCGCGCGAGAAAAGCATAATATTGTCTTCCCCGTCTGCCATCGTCGACAAACACATAACAACAAAATAATATTTTTAATTTACGCACCTAAATATTATAACGACGTACAATAAATAATAAATATAATATGCACTATACAAAAAAAAATAATATAATATTACCTTTATTATAATATAATCCGATTGCAAAAAAAACAACACATAAAACGATAGCGTATCGCAATAACAATAAAAAACGTTTTTTAAATACACAAACATAATATTCGTCGTCGTCGTCGTAGTTCCGAATAAATATACCTATTATTGTTATTAAAATCGCTTTTCCGGTGTGCTGCAACAGCAGAATATGTCTTTCGCATCACAACGGTAATATAAAAGATCGATGACAATGGTGCCATTTTATATTTGCAGACCACTACGGACTCGCCTGAATCGGAGTAAAAAACCAAAGCATACAGAGTATTAATTTTTTTTTTTTTAAAGAAGAGGTTTTCCCCTCCACCACGTCCCTTCGGTAACGATTTGACAGCAGACCCGTCGTTACAATCGACGACGACGACGACGACGGCGACAAACGATCAAGTCCTTTGGACGGGCGCCGGTATCCTGGTGACGATCGGCGAATCGGGTTTCGAGTCTTTCCGGGGACTGGGAGCCATCACTGCGTACCGGTTTATGATGTCGGCCACCTGTTGGCAGAACGTGTCGGCCGAAAGTTGCGGCCGCTGTTTGGACGACCAGTGCCGGCCGCCAGCCGCGTTCCACGTGTTGTTCCGGCCCAGCAGCGGTGTGGCCGGCGTTGACGACGTCGAAAACGATGGTTGATGTTGGCCACCGTCTGCATACGGTGCGGGTGATCGGCGGCTCGGCGTCGGCGTCTGCGACCGCCCGAAAGCTGGCGCTGGCTGCTGGTGTCTCGACGACTGGGTGGTAGAACGGTTTCGGCGGAACGGCGACTGCTGCGGGCTAGGCGTCTCCTTGCCGCCCGCCGAACGGCTTCGTGGTGGCCGCGTCACTCTCGTCACCGGTGGCGTGCCTACAATCAAAAGCATAATGATGACGCACTGCGATGATGTATAGGTAAGGTAAGGTTAGGTTAAGTCCGATTAGGTGTATGTACTATAAAAATATTAAATAATATGATGTGAGCTGTATTATACAGGAGGTCAAGCCTGAAGTAAACTATATTTTAAAAATATAGTATACGTCTTGATACATTTATATTTAACTTGGGAAAAAAGTGCTTAGTATGACTTTGCTTAAGAATGTTGGGAAAACAAGTACCAAACAATTAAAAGTACCTAGTGCCTAACGTAAATATTATAGTATACTCGCGGGTACTCGGTATACAAAACATTTAAATAATATTATATGGTTTCGAGTTTTCGACGCTGGGACAAGTTTGCCCTTTTTGAAACGATTGGCTGAAAAATAGGACACTCCTGAGGTCCGTCGCATATCTGGTATTTCTATATTCATCGGTCATCGCATCTAAAATATATAATTAAGTGGAATGGTATAATATGCAATGTTGTTTGTAATCGTCTGTAATCAGTATCCTAACTAATGGTAAGTGGTGGTTTCGAGTTGTGACTCTCTTTGCATACACCCTTTATTTTCTGTTCAAACTACCACGTTAGGGGGGCCTCAATAGCATTGCTACCCCTCACCTGCAATGCACCCTATAGTAAAGTACTCTTACAACTTACAAGTATTTCAAATTATTTTTCGTCGAACACTCCTCCTGAACACTGAGTTGTGCAATTATATGTTTATTATTATTATTTAGCCAGTTACAGTATTTTATACTATTATTAATACACAGTAGTTTGTCTTCCTACATTTCTTAAACTACAGAAATTTATTATTATAGTTATTACGTTCTATACATTTACTTTATCCATTAAAACTAGTAGGTAATTACATTTTTTCATCTCTTTAAATTTTGAGATTTACCTATTCCAGTCGTTGGGTCATAATCGTCCGACAGATCTAATTGAGCAGATCCACGGCGATGGCATTCCGACTCGACGGAATCTATTAATCCTAGGTATATTTCATATCATGAGCGTTTCTACTTTCTATTACCTACTCGTTTTTGTTTTTTTTTTTTTTGCACAACATTTGTTTTGAACTTTGGGCGGAAATTAAGATATTTTACGAGGAACCATTGGTGAAATTATGCGCGCCGAATCCGGCCGTTTTTCATTATTACATAATAATAATAATAAGTCATAGCGCGTATGTCCCGCGGTCTACTATAAATAATAATAACAATGATGATGACGACTATTACGACTGAGCACGCGGTGGTTTAGCGTGACGTCGTGCAGACGCGTCCGCGGTGACGATTACGGCACACGTATATTATTATATTTTATAATATATGTTAAAAAATGTATAGGCGTGTCCGACAGTGTGGACGGCAAAGTCGTATAATAATAATAATAATAATATGTGTGTACGTTTTATATTATGCGCCCAGCGTGGCGTAGGTATTATATAGGTATCATGATGTATGTTATATAGGTAACAAATTATAAAAATATTTTTTTATTTTTTTTATCCTATCTCTCGTTTGACGTGGTTTCGCGCTGTTCCCCGCGGCTATTCGTATTTTGGCCGTCTCCGCGAATCGTGAGCCCCAAACGTACTGCAATCCGTTTTAGACGTCGGCCGATTCATCATAGTCGCGTATACGGCGGGAAAACATTAAATACCATTATAATTTGTAATCGGTGTAAGCACGCAAGATACGTCCGTGAAGTTGTGTTAGGTTAGTGTTAAATACGTGCTCGGACAACTATACAGGTATAGCGTACTCCCCCCTCCATCTTCCCAAAGGGTATCGGCTGCAACGTAAATCACACAAAATAAATCAACGATTGATAATTATTAATTAATTAAACGGCAATGTGAGGTAGGTTATTCGTTTGTTCGTCGTCACGCGACACGCACACAGGTACGAACGAGTTGAAAAAATTAATCCACTATAGTATTACCACAGAATATAATATATATTATATATATTTCATATATGCTGTGGTATTACTGCGAGCTCGACTACTATGTTCCAGTTTTCGACCTCCGCTAGGCTTTGATCGTCGCCTATGCCCAAAGATTAATTATTTAAACACAAAACGCTGAGATCATCTCGGTCAATTTGTGAGCAATTTTTTTTCTACATGCCTTGTAATTTGAATTGCATAACATTATGTGCTTATAACCGCGAAGGAATCGAGGCATCAGATTATATACATTTGTACTGTTCTCGCAGTTTACGTTAACGGTATAAAAACCATAATTTTCTTCAATTGAAAAATACAATAAATTTTAATAAAAATTAGAAATAATCAGCTAACACCCTATAATCTAACAGACATCGAGCGGAGCGATCAATTAACTCGAGAACATGCGCAGTGGCGAAAACTAAAGCTATTATTATGCTCATTATACAAGCATCATACACAAAAGTATTATACCGACGGTTCTTATTTATTTTTTGTATTTTTTTTAATAGAGTTCGCGTTTGTGGTTTATTCAAGAACTATATTATTTATTATTATTGTTATTGTTATGCTGACCCGGGTACGCTTTTCATTAGTTTCCCTCTTTTTCTCTATTGTCAATTTGACAAGTAAAAGTTATTATTTCTTATTTTCAAGATCACATCACGTCGAAAAACGATGTTATAATTTAAACATTACGCGTTTTTCTCGAAATACAATTAAACCACTTTTCGTTCGATGTTGGACGCACGCTTTCGAAAATAGTTTATAAAACGACTGTAAACAAAATATCGTGTATGCGATTATTTCTCTATTATTTCGAAACTATTATGTAAAATATATTTTATGAGGTAAAAGTTATGCAAATCAAAAAAAAAATAATAATAATTATCTTCATCCGTAATTTGTTTAATCAAATATTATAGATGTGTGTGAGTTTATTCCACAACTGACGTTATGTTTAACGTCCGAAAATTTACCAGTGCCTGCGTAGGTACGCGTACCTAATGAGTAATAATAATATAATTTATGCACAACGCGTAATAATATATTATATACCTACCTACAAATATACCGGCACCGCTTCGAGCTACACCCTTCGATTCTATAGTTCAGGATAAAACGTTATACATACGGTTATATTATATAGGTAAAAGCACCCGGCATTCCTGTCGCAACTGCTTATTCCACCGTGATCGGAGTGCAGTCCGATCAAACAGGTATAGTACACGCGTGGGCAATTTTGACGGGTTGAGAAAAACAATTTTTTTTTTAAAAATCTGAACCCAAATTGCTGCTCTGCGTACGTACGTGGTTTTGGCTCGGCGTGTCAAAATGTGGGCGAGATAACATTTTAAATACGCGTGGATTACATTATTCGCTGGAATATGCGTGCATGTATATATTGTATATATGCATATTATAATATATATAATAAACGTGATGATGTATAGGCCAGCCAACTGAAAACATGTTGAACCACGTAGGGTTTCGACACAGTAGTCTGGACAGTGGGAAGGTGTTTGTATGACAGTTATGTATATACTATAAGGGATTGGTCGGCTAAATCTGGAGACAGCGTTCGAGACGAGAATATTTATGGACTTCGTGTAGTTTTGAAATTCAAGTTAAGCTATAAATTCAGCTTGCGTAAACCGTTCAAATATATAATATATATTTTACATAGGTATGCATTATAATTTATTACACACATACATAAATGTATATCGTGTCAACAGTGATAACGGCGAAGAGACTAATGTGTATAGTGATCAAGTGAATGGTCGTCACCGTCGGATATTTCTCAATCGGCTTAATAATATACCGTGGAATGGTATGGCACATAGATAAGTTACTCTATGCAATATACCTACCAGTATAATAGATAATGATAAAAGTACCTAATATTAATAATAATAATAATAATAATGTTGCGTTAAGAAATTACAACAAGATGCGAAATAACATTTTCTAGGTAAGATATTATTGTTATTGCGATGGTTTGAAGTTCCCGCGTATGTAAACTGTGATGTTACTCGTAGGAGGGGAAACGTTTATTATACTACTATACCGCACCATGTACCTCTACTATACCACCTCATCAACATATTATTGCAATCCATCCTACCTGATTTAATCCTTTGGTGTTCGTGTCGACTGCGAGTTCTCACATAATATTACATTCATAAACTCTAACCACAATCAGATATACTATAATATTATGGTTATAAATTATAAGTATATGTGACTATAAGAGTATATATACACAGCAATTCAAAATGCATGCACAAGACTTAAAAATATATTCTACCAAAATGCAAAGCAGTTTTATCAAAACATTCGTATATGATGTATAGGTAACATACCAATCTACTTATTGTTTACACATTTATTACGCGACTACTAAGCCCATAAGAATGAGTATTTCAGTATAATTTAAAATGTATTAAAACGAGATTACCAATCGTGACAAAACGCTTGTGGCTACGCGTAGGATGTTACCTGTATCGTAACATTACAAAACTAATTATTGTATATAATTAATTCTTTGTGGTGGTCCTAAGTCGTGAGTAATTATAACATATGTTACTTTAATTAGCCATCGTGTCTGTTGAGCTGAGAATTAATTATATTTTCTTGTTTAAAAAAAAAAAACACTAGAAAAAATTTAACATTTGATAATTTAAAATGTTAAATATTTATGTAGTGACCCGGAGACGAAAAATTACAACTATAACGTCCCGATTAAAAAGGAATATCAATATCGAACTATTTTCATTGTGATTCGTTAAGCATGTTTTATTTTGTAACGTTAAGGTCATCGTAGTATGTTTTTTTATTATTTAGTTACCTATAGGCAAATAGCGGACCAATCTAAAAAATATCGAAAAACCTCTTTCGTTTAATAATAATATGTACGTTTAGGTCAACGACACAAACCCGCGTATCGTTGTACCCGTACCTACATAGGTATTATTAAAATAAAATTTTCTCTGGCATACATCACACCAATGCCAATGTCAACGCTCAGTAAGCAATATATTATTGTATACATTTATAATGTATGCTAATGATATTATAAACGGTGTTTATAAACAGATAATTGTGACTGAATAATGTATATATTATATCAATCCTAGTGTAGAATGTACATATAATATACAGTCAACACTAAACGGCAATACACAATACATCAAAACGAATCCTACTGCAAAGACGTAAACTTAGAGTTTTTTTTTTCAAAATTGGTTAAAATGCAGAAACTGTTATTTTCGAGTTAGGAGAATGTACAATGTTTGTACAGATATGAATTATTATCGCATAGTGAGTCGATCTATATGCGCACGAATGGCATTTTAAATGACATTATATTATGACGCTTACCGTTTGATTTTTGCACGTGTTTCACGTTAGAGTTGAACGGCGGCGAAGCTACCACACCCAGACTCCTGTAGCCCTCGTCCGATACTTCCGAGCCACTGTCTGTGCCGACCGGCTCCGACTTCTTCGCGTCCCCGCGGGCCGTATGCGACTTTTTCCGGCCCGCCGACGGTGGACAATCGTCGTATGCGGCCACCCTCAGGCTGTCCGACACGCGGCTGAACGGCGTCGTGTCCACCACGGACTCTTCCTCCCTGACGGTCGAGTGCCGCCTCTCGCCGATGGCCGTCACCGGCATGGGGTTTAGCACATGGTACTGTCCGGTGCCTCGGAAATTATCTGAAACCCGGCAAGTGGACGAAGTGTCCACGGTCACGTCATCGTCGTCGTCGTCGCCATCGTCGCAGTCGTCACCACCGTTCCGGCCACTGTCCATTTTTCCAGTCTCCAGGTGCTGTATGTCCACGGACGACTCTCTGGAAGATCTTTGCAGACGGTCGCTCAACTCGGCGGCCAGTTCCGGCGTGAAGTTCACCGATATCTTTGGCGTCGGCGTGTCGTCCACTCCGCTTCGCTGGCGCGCCGCCGACGGCGAACGGCTGCGGTCGTTGGACTGTCGCTGTCCGTTTGGCACATTCAGCAAACGATCGCTGCCGCCGTTACCAGCTCCGGACGATGGTGACGCAGATCGCCGTGTAAGTCTCCTGCTGGGCGTCACCGACCTAGACCTGCAACCCGAGTTGGCCACGGCCAAGTGGTCGGTGGCCCGCCGGGGAGTAGGACTCCTGCTCCGGCGGCCAGCGTCTACGGGTGCGCTCAATTTGGCAGTCGGCCGCGGGGACGGCGAACGGCTCCGGCGGCGGCTCGCCCGCTTAGCCGTGGCTAGGCCACCTGACGTCAAGCTCAGGCCGCCGGAGTAACCACCGTTACCGCTGCTGCCGGTGCTGGAAGTGGATGAGCGTCGTGTTCTTGGCGGTGATCTATATATTATACACACACAATACATGTACATACGGAGATGGTAAATTATGAGATATTAAAATATGTAACTGCAGGGTGAAACAGAAGCTGCAGTGTTGGTAAATTAGGGCTGTGAATATGTAGTTGTATCTAAGCTCAGAAGGCAGTAAATGTTGTGTTGAATGTATTACAATAAGGAAACGGTTAAGAAAAATTTAAGATAATATAAATTAAGTGTACAGTTGAGTACTTGAGTGGTAACCGGTAACACTATTATCCACTTGAATACCAATGGGATAAGCAACTCCTCTTAAGTGTACAATACTATACTTTATAATAATCTATTAATTAGTTATAAGTAGGTACTAGTAACTAACAATTATAATTGAAAATGGATGAGGGAGTTACAGTTTAATAAAAGTGTTCGCATGTGGTTATTCCGAATGATTTCTATGATTTCTATAATTATTTGTTCTTAAATACAATAACAACATATTTATGAAAGTATACGAATACGTATTCCAAATATACAAATTAAGTTTTCTTAAAACATGTTAAGAACCTCATTATTTAATGAAATGTATCATCATATATTATATTATTATGTAATCTATCTTCATACCCTGTCTTATACAGGATAATTGTTTCAGTATGCTCACCCCATTTTTGTGTTTAAATTATGCATAATTCTAGTTTCTGGAATTTTTAAGTATATAGAAGATATTTTCGAATAATTATATGACTTATTATTTTTAGTTCGAATTTCGATTACAATACGTCAAAGTATTTAGAAATATCATCTGATTTACAATTTGCATTAAAATATGTAGGCTCCTATTTGATAAATTAATGTTGGTATCGCCATAGGATACTCCTATTTTTAAATGTGAAAATCGAAAAATATCGTTTTTAACTACACTTAAAAATTTCAAAAATCAGAATTTGAATATATGTATAATTTGAACATAAAAATGGGATGAGCATGCTTCAAAATCATCCTGTATCTACAAAATTTACTGTGATTACTCTAAATCTGATAGTTCAAATTTAAATTTAAAAAGAAATTAGAATATGAACTAATATTTTAATATGCTCAGGACTTTCTTAATATTTTTAATTAATTGCATTATATTCACAGTCCTAATTATAATATTACTATTAACATAACACTAATGCCGTTATTCGAAGTAAAAAAAATCCCCCCTGTGGTATTTATTATTGTACTTGGTTATAAGATTATGCTATTCGTTCTAACTTCACTGAAATGGCATAATAACATATTATAGCTTTGTGCTTTGAAACTTATCAGCGCTTATGTCTTACTGATTTTACAATGTCAGTAAGTTTATTTGAAGTGCTACGATATTTTTCCTGTTTCCTTCGGAGAAATTTCTTACGAAATATATAAGGTTTTTATGTGTTTTTGAACAAAAAACCAAATGGATTATTAAATGTTTTTTTAGTTTCGCATTATTAATGCGTAGTTGTACATGCCTATGAATAATAATATACTGCATGCAAATCCTACTCGGTACATGCTAAACGTATTAAACAAACATAATAATATAATACAGTAAAATACAACAAAGTACTGACCTTTCGTAGTGTACTTGGGCGTGCGATATTTCCAACGTGGGCCCGCCGCTCCTGACACCCGTCAGTTTTGCAGATACCGGGGCTCGATGAGCTATTTAAGTAAAATTAATAAAAAAAAAAAACAATAAAAAAAAAAAGAAAAAAAGAAACTAAAAACGATAAAACAACAAACGCATGACCAAAACTAACTACAACGCTACAACAACACAATATAATGTGTCCAGTGGGACATTTTACGCAAGAATCAATTTCTCGACAAATGATCTACACCAATACTTTATTACTGTTGACCTTGTAGGAAACGTATTCTATTTTTGTTCCCTGCCGCCCATAAGCTTTACACTAATACGTAGGTATATATTATAAATGCGGCCACATAATAACGTACGGCTTTACGGTGTGTTGTTTAGCGGACAAGATATGTTTTTCCTTCCATTACATATATTTGTTTTCTTTCGCTTTAGGTAAAATGTGGCTTACCAGTTTTGCATCGACACGGGTCGTGTTTGTCCAAGTAATGAGACAGTGTGTCCCAGCCTCCGCCCACTCTGACCATAACGTGACTCCTCAGTATCTATATAAGGATGATATTATTATGCACTCACGCCGAATAGAACAACAATATAATATATTAGTTGAACGGACATAAGTATATTTTACAAACACGATTGCATTTAATATACTAATATAATAATATACCATATACACAGCACTCACCCTGACAAATATTAAGACTTTAGTATCACCGATACGGTATTTTCCCTCGGACACTCTGATCATTGGGAACTGGGTCGGACACTTGCACCTCTCTACAAGATCCCGTACCTAATGAAATAAAAAATAAGGTTACGCGTACGTTTGGTTAATGTATAAAAAACAAGGTACAAAAATAATAAGAGATGAGATTTTGTGGGCACGGCAACCACGCCGAACGCAGTAATTTGTATTTGGCACCTGAACATACGTGTATGTAGGTACCTACCATGTTTCACAGCAAAGTAGTATAATATGAAAAATATTATCGTTCAAATTAGAAAGTACCGTACTGAAATTCGTGAATTCAATTTCATATCAGTGGCCAGAAATAATAGAGTAATAACAGTACTTAGACAAATCAAACCAACTAATATAATTTTACGATTTTTTTCCCAGTTGAAATCTATCTACTTATTTTAGCCTATATTATATGAATAATAAGAAAATATACAATTTAGTTCGTTTTATGTTATTATTTTCATATCATCAGATTTTAAAAGACTGAATATTTTTCCTAAAAAAATACTCTTTTCTATTCCAACAATTTAAGTTATAACATTCTAACAAATGTACTAAAAATATTTATAATATTTTTTAAAAAAAAAGTTAATATTTTGTCATAATAATTTTACGCTGCATAATTTATTTATTTATTATAATTTAACCTATTTAATATAGATTGCTTATCATTACGATAAGCACTAATGTAAAAAAATACGTTAAATTATTTTCAAACAAGATAAACAAAATATAATATACATGTAATGACTACTAATTTGTTCAACATATTTACTATGATCATCAGTAATTTTAAGATAATGTAATAACTTGAACTATAATTTGTTCTCTCGTAATCGTACATCAAATAACAAGAACATAATATTAATAATACATTGATCATGAGATAAAGCTATAATAGAAAATAATAGAAATTAGCTATATGAATATTATAATATTATACAATAGTGATTATCAACCCACGAAATGTTTACCGAAATAACTGGTTTTACAGTATTAGAGTTTCATATATATATATATATATATATTATTTTTCACATACTATTATACTACATTGGTTTTATCTACTCATATAATTTAAGCAACAAAGTATTTCGTTTGGATAAAATATATTTCCACGCAATATTGTGCACAATGTGCCCATGTTTGTCATTGAACTTTCTGTTGAGATGCCGACTTATGTTTTTTTTTTTTTTTAATTAGCATTATAACTGCGCATTGCACCGAATTTATTCTCATGTCATTGTACTAAATTTTAATTAAGTTGGGCCCGGTGTATGTGATGTGGTTGTATCAATCACAATCCACTGTGTTCGTTCTAGTTGTGCCGCGGGTACGCTGCACCGGTGGCTAAGGTCGGCAACTTCTTAACGCTTTGTTTTCACTAATTCGCAGTGTCACGACGTTTTCTTATTGTCCAATAAAAATCAAGGTTATGTGCGGCATTCAAACCGATAAAGGATCATAATTTTTATACGAACATCATCATGATATCGGTAAACAAAACAAAACAAAAAACAATGTTATTGGACACTGATTTTCAATGATAAAATAATATTGACCGGCTATAATATTATAATATTACGTCATATAGTATAGATATACTGTATACCAGAAAATGGATTTAAATATAAGTAATTTTATTATGTTTGAACGCAAAATATCAAAATGGTTGTGTTTGTATTGTGTATAATATTTAGTTAATATAGTTTTAACTATAAATTCGACCGTTACAAAATATAAATTTGAATAAATCAAATATATTTCATCATGTAATAGAAAGGATGTATTGTGAAGTTATCTCGAAATAATTGATTGTATTCAATAAGTACGAATACATCTAATTTATTCAAATAAAATTAATCTCAACTCTACAAACAATGCTCGTATTTTTTATGATAATACATTAATACATGCGTATAATATATATTTCATATGGGCGTAATGTTTTATGCGTTTATCCGAGAATATTAGGTAATCATGAAAATATACTTCGTATATTGAAGTACTACTGCTTGCAATTTTATGTAAATGCCCGATGTTCCAATACACACCTTTATGATGACTTATTCTTTCAAACATTTTATGTAAACAATGTTAATGTCATACTTCTAGATAATATTTTTACTCGTTTCAAAATATTTCTGGTATGAGAAATTCTTCGATTCCGCATATCACCAAATAATAATTTTTTTATACATAGTTAAATATCTAATTTAGTTGAATATTTAATTGAGGATAAAATAGTATTATATTATCAATAAATTACGCAGACAATCACTGTATATAGCTTGATTCCGTTACTCTATTATATTATTTTTTTTACAGCTACAAGTGACTACACACTATCAGACCCCTTACAATAACAAATTTATAATTTTCAGTGTAGTCGGTTACATTGTCAATACTACAAAAATTTCACTTCCTAGCTTTGTGGTTTTATCATATCATCACGCAGTACTTTTCTTATTATAAGTAATTTCAATATTAACCTATGTAAATGCGTAGAACTCGAATATAAAATCATGGTTGTACATATTATATTGTTATGATTATATATTCGTGTTTTAGTTCTTCTAATATGTAAAATAAATTGAAGGGTCGTTTTCTAATATTACGTTTAACACATTTCAGTACATCATTATACGGTTAAATAGGTAGAGTATTATTGGGTCTTATGTTACATAATTAATGTATAAATGTACCTATATAGTTTATAGTTTAAGTAAGTATCTACAAAGTAGCAACCAACAAGTAACAACTAATTCTGTATTATAATATGTAAAATACCGATCTAAATTTCTATCATCAAATATTGTTCATTATTCATTAAATATCTCTATTTTCACACTTACCATTTCATCTAAGCTTTTTAAATCGTTAGTAACAATTTGAGGAGATGGCGCGTATTCGGTTAAGTCTTCGCCGTCACTCAAATCAGTATCATCGCCATCATTAAAATCAGTTCCTTGTGAAAATTGAGCATACTTTTTATCTGCTGCTATTTCCCGATCAATCTGTCTTTCCATTTGCACTAACATCGGAGCTGGCACACCAACTCTAGCACCACGTCTAGCGACCTAAAAATAAACATAAATATCATTATTTTTTATTCATATTAATATTTTTTTAAGCTTTTTTATACAATACAATTTTACCTCTAATAAACACAAGATCACGTGTTTTTCATTTTTTCGCATTATAAGATCATCTGTTTCAAACAGCAGACACTCGAAAACACCAAGTCCGTTTCTGCACCAATTGATGAAATTGGAAACATTGTCTCTAGCAAAAAACGTACCACCTTTAGCGCCGGGTAAATATCGTACAGCTGGTAATTGAAGAACTATGCTCGCAATGCCGCTAATATTAGATTTCCCAGCCGCTTGTCTTCGATTCACGTGTTCCTCTGCATAGTTCCTCACACAGTTTGAATGCTACAAAATAAAATTAAACATAATGTTAAGGGTTTTCATTTACTTAAGACTCTAGCTAACATACGTATATTTATAACTTATAATAGTGTATTTTATATCTTTAGTTCCATCATGTATAAAACATTGTCATAAATTTAAATTAGATATCTAGTGTAAGATAGCTATAGGTAGAAGTAGACATATTTAGAATGACTAGAATATTATATTTTTATTTTGTATGTATTTTTAGTTAATTTTTTTAGAAGTCGACAGCTATAATTATATAAGATATGTAGGTATATGTATTATGTATATGTTAAAGTAAAATAAACAATACTACGCAGTTATGTCTATAATTTTCCGTCAATCAGATAATCAAATTATTATTTTCGAGTTGACGCCTACGTAGTTATTGCAAATAAAAAAGTATCAAAATGTTAGATGAGCCTAGCCATGTTCCAGTTTTTTACATGTCAAGGGCGATTATTAAAATAGTGATACTTTGCTTCAAACCGATGGTTTGTTAGCATTCACTATAATATATTGAATATTGATACGTCATCTGAGCAAGTATGCAACAGAGTGCAGATGAAAGAGTACAGTTAAATATAAAAAATCGTGTGAAATACACATTCAGTGTTAACTACTATTGACACTTATTACTTAAGTACCCATTCAACAACAGTTCAATACCTAGGTACTGTATATTGAATACGTTGACCGTAATTTTACTTAATCAATTATTTAATTCAGTACAAGCCAGATGGAAACAATTGCCGACAATGTTCCTATATGATAATGTCACACCAGTAAATACTAAATCCAGCATATTGCAGAAAGACTACCTGAATGTATGTTAAATCATAATATTTATTTATTTTAAGTTCACATATTACATACACATTGTTACAAATTTATCTATAATAGTATAAAAAAATTTTAAAATCAAAATATAATTCATTCAAATGAATTTTGACATTGTAGTTTTATTTATTAGTTTAAAATATAGGAATGAAATAATTAAACATGCGTGTATATTTTTCTTGGATATATTATTATGGTACTGTATTTATAATAAGCTAAATATTTATTTATTGAATATTAATTGAATCAAACAACAATTGAAAAATATGTTAATATTTTTATGTATATTATAACTTTGTGTAAAAATTAAATTTATCCAATGTAAGAGATTTATTTAGGTCAGTCCATTGTTATAAAACCAAGGATAAATTTAAAAAGGCTTCTACACCTATTTGCGCCCTAATCCAAGTATGACGTTAAGTATGCTCGTGAACTTTTAACCAGAGTAATATTTTTATAACCTCAAATATATTATGTATTATTGATATTTACTATTTATTTTTTTTTATAATAAAATGTATAGTTAAGGTATAAATCGATTCATTTTTAACCAATCATTAAACTAATAGACATTAGTGGGTACCTATAAACTAGTACACAGCACAAATATTTATTAGAATCTATTTTTTTATAAACATATATATGACAATATACCATAAATATGACTAAACTAAATATCTTTATTTTTCATTTAAAAAATGATGTGATTTTTTGCAAGAAACTATGATCAATGCAAGTTGAATAAGAATTATTATTTTTTTGAAACTTGAGTAGGTACGTGACAGTCGATAGACAATAAAAACATTTGTTATATGATAAAATAGGCATACAGTTATAAATATATTTTGTATTTAAATATATTATGAAACCGACCTATAGCTTTGCAAGTACCTATATTATATTATTATTGGGTATTCGCTATGTTAACATCATGACTACAAATATCCTAGAGTTGTTCATGGACGGATGGAGGTATTTCTGTTCAAAACTTAAGAGCTACACTATATATTTTTTCTGTGATTTATATTCAGTTATAGAAAACGTCCACGCATATACAATTTCAGAAATGGTGAAAAAAAAGACAATGTAGAGCAAATCGAATTGTGAAAATAATCAACCGTAGCCATTTACGCAGCAAAAATTGTAATCTGAATTCAACTTGCGTTGAAAGTATCGCTGTTTTCTATTTCTCTGTAAATAAGTATATCGTTTTCGTTTCACCCAAACTATATAATATTTCTCATCTGCTTTGGTCAATCGTAACATAGGTATGACGCTTTCCAATAGACTGAAAATAACCAGCGTAATGTCCTTACGCGTGACAACCAAAACGAATCAAAATAATGTGTTTCCTGTCATTAATTATTGCCATTTTCATAAGCAACTTCTAACATTTTAGGTTTTGCCAAAAACTTAATAAACTAAGAAGGAAAATAAATAAATTAGGTATATTAAAATATATATTAGGAATAGCTACTAGATATTTTTCTACTGCAAGGCAAATCGAGGAATCTTAGATATATTTTTGGGTATAGTGCAGTGAAGGAAATATCAAGTAGCGTGCAACATTTTGTTAGGAATTCAATTAACTAAAAATATTATAAATTGATTTTTAATATATTATATTTTATTGATTTTTTATTGATTTGCGTTTCTATGGCAATAAACAAACGTCACGCAAAAAAATCAGTAAAAAAAAAAGTTGTATTTAGCCCAAAACATATACCTATATGTTAAAAAAAACAAAACGCAATAAATAACATAAGTATGATGGAACCATGTAGAATAATCAATAATATCCTTAATATAATTAAATAAGTATATTATGAATGAAAACGGTAAAGATCTCAGTAATCTATAATTATATATAGTGGAGTACCGAGTAGTATGACATGACGTATAAAATGAGGAGCTTACACTAAGATTTTTCAATAACTCACTGTAAAAAATAATTTACTGCAGTCTTATAAACCGAATTTATTAAATAAATTACGTTCGTAGAGAAAATAAGGACTCCGTTCAGGCTATAGTTTATGCAAGACGTTATACTCGTTATGAATGAATAGCATTTTGTATGTACGTTCCAACGCGTCGCGCTCGGACTGAAGTAATAATAATTATTGGTAAAAATAAAAATAAAATGTAAAGAATAATTTATTTACAGATACCATTAACCGTAAGATAATTTTATATTACAACATATTATATTATATTACAGTGGTTAATTTAAATTATATAAGATTATAATAATAATAATAATTTAGAAAATATTTTTTTCAAAATGTTATTGGCTTATTAATATTTTATGGTTTTTGAATGAAATAATTAAATCATATTTAGTGGTTGCTTAAAATGTTGCATTTATCCTTTAACATACCTAGTTATTTTATGATACTAGATAATCATAATATAATATCAAATATCTGCAATGTTCAAATGTATGCTGTCTACAGTTTTTGGCCTCCCAAATATTCTAGTTATTTATTTACCAGATTTCTTTTCGACCTTTACACTTGAATATAATTTGCAAATCATCATGTACATTGTATACACGCTAGTTTGACATACTATAACCATTCATTTTGACCCGATTTAGTATGTCCGAAAACATTTCTAATGTTCATGAAAGACACCAGCAAGAGGTTTATTGGTCACGTACTCACGTATACCGTTAAATAAAAAATTAACATTATTACAAAAATATAAAATATAAATTTAAATGTATAAAAATTTTAAATCAAACGTAATAATTATTTAGTTGAGTAACGTGGTAATAATTATTATTTTGTTGATAAAATGTTCCGTTAGCTAAAATGGGTTTTTATTTATTGTTGTTTATATACATACACACTTTTTATCACTATATTCCGTGGTAATTATTATCCAACTGTACATGTGTTGCTAATTGATAATTAAAAATCTATGTTCTAAGAGATACGAAAACCGACACTCATCAGTTATAACTTATAACATTTCCGGAGTTCAGTCATGCATTGTAAGAAAAAATGATGTAATTATGGGAACGGAAAAGGGAAATATTTTGAACTTGAATAACAATTTATACATACTTCTAAAACTAGACATATTAATTTTGAAAGAAAGTACCTATTTGTTTTTAATTTAAACGCAGAAAGAATTATAATTTTAATATTATTAACTCATTAAATAATAAATAAAAATACAACAAGACATTACAAACTTGCGAAATTATAATTTAAAAAAAGTTAGATTTATCTTTAGACAATTTACAGAATTATTAAGTTGGCCGAGTATTTTTCTACTATATTAGTAAAAACATGCTGCAGATATCGTTAGTTGCAATATCCAATGTAGTTATTACATTATGGTATAGCGTAATTTCTATGTTATACGAATCGAATAATATTACAACCACTATTAAATAATAAGCTGTTTATGTGTAGCGCGATAAAATGCTATCCTAGGTTTAAATGTCTTTAAAATGAAAATAAGAACAATGCAATATGGTTGGGTGATACGTATATAGTATACTAATGACTTGTACAGTCGTATAATATATAGTGGTCTATTTTAGAGATAACATCAAATATAGTACACATCATCGAGAGAATATTGCATATTATATCAATAAATTGTATGCAATTTATGCATAACTACAGTAAATTATGTCAACAAAATGCATTATTTCAATAAACAACAATAATATGTGTATACGATTTTAAACCTGATAATATTAATAATATAATACATAAGAGAAAACGAACTAGAACACAACCCTAAAATCCCGTTAAAGTAGTTCAAAGCGGAAAAATGTTTATGAATTTAATAATCATAATAAAACAACTTGTATGAATACATGGATTATTTGTCAATTTGCTTCATTTTCACCGGTAGAATATAAGGGCCATTAATCCATTAAGGTGTTTGAAACACATAATGGAGACCATCAATAAATGGACGGAGCACGTTGTACGTGATTTCCTACAGGAAAGAGAAAATCGTGAGGCAATCATATGCGATACAATACTGAACGGGCGTACCGCGTTCGACGGTATGCGGAATAGAAACTACCTATAGGTATATAAATATATAATATTATGCAGTAAATTTAACCGATACGATTTACTGGAATAAGGACCTATCAAGTACCTATAATAGCACTTAAATGTATAATAATTGTAGTCAATAATTGACTGTACCATATATGTGTATACAAATAATAAGCGAATAGTTATTTACACACAGTACACACATGCGGATTAATGATTATAATGGGTACGCAATAATAATTTTTAAAACAATAACTTTTTTTACAGATTGCCTTAAATTATACCTGATTAATTGAATAGATTCCAGATAATAAGTGGTTATTTCCTCTAGGTCCCCTCATCAAGACCACTTAAAATAGTTTAAACTAATTATGAATCGAGACTAATAAATAACCATAACAATGATGAAAAAAATATTTATCAATAATAATTTAGTGTATTATATGATAATAACAAAAAAATGTATTTAATAGAATTTTTCAGACACGATGTATCCATTTATCCATGTTTTCAAATATTTATTTGTATTTTTCATAAGAGTACTGAATATTATGATATTCCAAATATTTATTTGAATGATGAATAATATTATAAAAGTACCTACAAATATAGAAAAAAATATATTGTTGATAACATTGTATATGATCACAATTCAATATTCATACTAATTAGATATTACAGTCATCGATGGGTTTTTTTTCCTAGGTAGGTATTTGCTCGTTTTTAAGTGTCAAACAAATACATAACACAATTATTCATCAGTGTTCTTTAAACTATACTTCTATATACATAACTCTTCAACTAATTTATAATATTATTCAATGTCAAGAAAGATAAAAAAAGCTGTTGATACTAAATCATTAATTATTCTTACTTAAATTCAGAAATGAATAAAAACTGTTTAGTAAGAAGCATTTACAAATTATATACTTTTAATTTTTTAAAAAGACGATGAAAGCTAGTTGTATATAAAATAATGTTATTCAACCATAAACTGCTTTGTTTTTTATTTGATTAATTATTATTATTTTGGTTATATGTAAGTACATTTATTTTGACAAAACAATCATATGATAAATTTATTTTATATTCAAATATTTTCATATTAAAAAATGTGTACCTACCAGTTACTTAGTACATAGTTAAAGAACAAAAAGATTCTGAATAAAAATTGGGATAACAGATACTAACAATACATTTCAATGAGCAATCATTGATATTAAAACACATGTTATTTGTTTAAAACAAAAGTAAGTTTTTCATAAAAAGTAAAACAATATTATGTAAGAAAAAATTTCTTGCTCTGTTTTGTTAAATTGAGCTATTAATATTATATTGTTAAATATAATTTAACGTAAATTTATTTGCAACTGTTCAACCTACAATGTACATCGATATATTTAGTCATTTATTCTAAATCTAGAAGTAGACTTAAAGAAAAGAATGCAGTATAGTTTAAAAATAATCGTTGTTAAAAAGAGATGACCTTTTTAAATGGAATCTTCCAAAGTGATAAAACTCAACATTGTAAGATCCATGCCAAGTCCATTCCGAAAAAACTTTGAAAAATTGTAGCTTGCAAATATATATTGAATTTGAATAGTGTTATTTAGAACATAGACTTTGGATCTATTCAGTGGATAGTGACATATTGTTAGATTATAACGGGATGATTCAGTGTGATAATATTTTATCATATAGTTCACGTTTTAATTTTAATTTATATCATGATTCACCATGAATTTAGATTAATAATAATGATAGAATAGGTATAACTTTACCTTGCACAAAGCCACGCCGGTATCAAGTCTATCCATGAAATTATTCACGTTTATGTAGAGCTCAGGATACAAACCATTCAGCCATTCAGCTAAATCCTCTTTCATAGCATAAAGATATTCTTCACTGGACTTGAACGGCCGAAACGACCGTGATTCCACTAATAATGCCATCTGTAATAAAATATTTTACATTACTACACAATTATACAAAATATATTTGATATTGAATATCAGTAAAGTATTTTAGCCGGTTATGAAATAGTATTACAACATTAGTTTATAATATGATGCAGTAATCCTATAAAAAATATTAAGTACTAGAATTTATTTAATTCTTAGAGGGAGGGAGCTTATTTGTTTGTAAGATTTGAAGACTTCAAAATTGTACAACATTCTATAAATAGATATGACAACACATAAATCATAAAACATTTCAAAAAGGTCACTAATTATATACTTTTAAAAATGCATAGTATAATAATATGTAGGTAGTTGATACCTATACCTATGCATATGTTTAAACTATATACAGAGAGCGAAATTTATTCCTTTGGAACAATATTTTTGTGGAAAAATATCCCGTTGACAACAAATATTATTATTTATTTAAACTGTTTTTAATGGATATTACTATGATTTCGTAATCCATTCGGCGTTCTAAATTGATGATGTTGGACAATAAATCGATCGGAAACGTTATGGGACATATTCTACCTATTGGAAACATATTATATTGTTTATTCTGTAGTACTAAAGTGATCAATAAATTTAATATTTTGTTGAAATCGTAATTGCTCAGAAACTTATTTTCGTGCAAAATATTTGAAATGTACATTATTAGGTTACGGTATACGATTCCAAACAAATACTTTTCCGGCAAAATACGTTTTAAAACTAATACTATTCCAACAAAATACGTTTACAAATTAATAGGATTCCGAATTATATTTTCTGACGGTTCCAAATACATACTTTTCAATCAAAAAAATTTCAGAGCAAATGCTTTTTCGACAAAATATGTTCACAAATCTCAATTCAGTTCCAAGATAAATATAAATGAGAAAATAATATTTTAAAAATGTTCACGTTCTGACCCAGTAATATTCAACAAAATACTATTGTATTCATTAAAAAGTAAGATATTATATTTGTAAGAACTGCAATGTCAAATACTGAATATTTTTCAAACTATTAAAAAATAGTTATTGAAAACCTGTATAGAGTTAACCTAATCTATATCATTCACACATAAATATCTCGGATTCTAATAAATGTTTTTTGTTTATAATAACCAGTATGAATTTAACAAACAGATATAACATATTATTATACAAAATACAAATAAATTATACATGCATTTATCCCTCACACTATTCACATTTACTATTCATTAGAATCAATGTATCTACACATTTTTATTACCACGGATAATTCGCTATGCTGAGTTCATACACCTGAATATCATTGTTGTAACTTTGTAATTGATTACAGTTTTTTCTTTTAATAAATAATTATTAGGTACTAGGTAGGTATTGTAACATAAAAAGCATTCAAAAAATAAAAGATAGAATAATAATTTTAAGTGACTCAATTTTTAATACTAAATCATACTTATATAGTCTTTATATACACACGTAAAGAGTGACATTTATAATTCTAAAATTTAATGGGAAACTACCAAAAAAACCTACAATTTAAAATACTTCTATATTATATAAATACAAACTTTAGTATACGAACTGAATGCACGATAGAGTGTAAACTTGGGAACTATGGTTTAAACATTTTAATCTTATAGGTGACAAAAATTATGAGAACCTTCAGATTATCGAAATATATTAAATAAACAATTAATATGATATCAGAAAGTATTCTTGTATTAAAATATCATGTCTTTGTACTCAAAATCACTATCAAAAAAGATTTATTTTATTTTATTTATTTTCAGGTGATAAATTAGTTCTATAATACCAAAATGCGTGTACCTTCATGACAATAATTGTGTGACCTAGAAGACTAGAAATCAGAATGTATAGTATAATTCATTATAATACAAGTCATTTTATATGTATACAATTATTTTACGTTTAAAAATAATCTATTAAAGACTCAAAGAAATTTGATATAACAACAGGATTTTGTGTGGCTAAAAAAAAGAGCACGCACGTGGCATGGTGGTCGCCCACACTGTTTATAACGGACCACTTCCAAATTGGGCTGTTATTTATACTGAAGGGAATAATCTAATCATTCAATATGAAACAAATTTATTATGAAACATTATAGTAACAATAACTGTTAAACAAGATGGCATCAATTTAATTTGTTCCATTATTATAACTAAAAATACTTAATATAAATTTACAACACATAATAAATATTAATAATACAAAACACCGTGAGTTATGAGAGTTTATGACTACATCATATTTAAAAAATGATGTGAACAAACCAAACGTCATATTATATTCTTCACGTGTTAAGTAAAATGTTCCACATGTGATATTAACATATGCACTTGCATTATACAGATTAACTGGTAAAAATCTGAGTAACATTAATGAGTGTTAGTGGTAAGTAGAAGTGTTTTGTAAATGGAGTATTTATTTTAATAAGACAGTAAGTTTACACATCAACGTAGTTCATAGACCAGAGGTATTCAAACTCTTATATGCCATGCCATTTGTTCACAAAATTTTGGTGATTCCCGAATTAATCAAGACCAAAAATGATAATATTTAAGTGTATGTCAATATGTTTATTTATAATATATCAATAATTATTTGACAACAAATGTAATATCTATGCATAGAAAACCAAAATTAAATATTTTACGTTTAGAATAAAAGAAGATAATAATCGCATTATTATAAGTTGTATTATTTGTTCCCCTGACTAACTACACTGCACCGCGGTACACCTTGTAACAGCAACGCACAGTTTAAATACCTCTGAGCAGTCTGGCGTAAACAGTAAAATTATATAGAAGTGAAAAATTTAGCTTAAAATAATTATATAACAGTTTATTTTATACTCTCCCATACAATATTAAATATTGTATTTATATTATACTATTATAGTATACAGATGCATTTAACTCATAATTAAACTACATTTTTTTAATTTAAATTTGGTACCTACTTATTTGATAGCCATTGGTCATTAATATAACGTCTTTAAATTTGAAATAAATAATAATTATTATTATTTATCATAAAATATATTTTTTTTAAAACATTTACTACAATTATTGCATCTAAATAAATATTTTAAGCATATACCTGTTAAAAAAAAATATTTTTTTTAAATGATGGATACTTTTGAATAATTTCATCGTCCTTGTTTCTCGAAAACTATTGAGAAAATTTCGAAAAATGTAATGCTTATATTTTTTAACATATTATTATAAGAATGAATCTACAAAATTGTTTAGATAGACCTGCCTATGTAATTATGCAACTCTTAGGATATTTTTAAGTGTAACAAAAACACACTACCTACCCAAAATTATTTTATAAAGATTTTATAGTCATTTAAAAATTGATACAATGAAATATTTTTTATGGAGGCACTATGAAAACAATTCTCCCCTAGGTATCAGTGAAGTAAGACAGTTTTACACTTAATAATTAATAATTATTTAAACATTTTTTTTTATTTCGAAATTGTATTCTTGGTAAAAGCAGTTTACCATATTTTAAATTTGATGATTAAAACTTACTCTAAGCAATGTTATTTTATCTATACAGTCTACTCATTACACATTACCTAGGTATGTATATAATAATCTCGATTTTAATGTATTATATTGTTTTTACTTATTTAGTAATTTTAAAATAAATAACAAAATGCAAATTTTTATATCGAATAAATAATTAAATTAATAATAATACCATTTATTATTTTATGCCAATACCCATTAGCCATACAGTTAGTAAGTAGTTGAAATAAATATAAAATCATACATTGTTAAAATAATTTAATAGCTTATTTAAAAATGGACTTATCCATATAGTCTATAGTGCAATGTTCACCACGGTTCATCAAATATTAGCTGTAATTAAATAATTTATAATATATTTTTCATGATTTAAATGACTATATTATTATGATTGATATTTGCAGTAATAGGTTTAATTATTTTAAAGACTACAAAACTATATAATAAACATAATTCATTCTTCACTTTAATAGCAATTTAAAACCGATAAGATGGAAGTAAAAAATGAGATTTATAGAAACGGTCTAAAATGGTTTTAAATTTTCATATGAGAATATTTATTATTACGTACTTATGTTATATTCGATCATTTTACTAAATCTTTAATATATGTATATGGGTGGGTACCTATTATATTTGTCTCAATGTATTATTTTTTTTTTATGTAAGTAATATAATACGGTTACTGTTAAACTCTGCGCACGTGTTTAATTATAAGCATTGCAAGCATGTGTTATAAAAGAACCGCATTTTATTGATATTCCTGCCCTCCGGTGGCCAAAAGCGACACACCTCGGGAGTCGGGACATTTTTGCGCATTGTATTTGGCGCAATCGATTGGGCCGCAGCCGGCAAAGGGAGCGCGAGAGTGCTGCACATATACACCTAACATTTGGCTGAATACCCTAACGTCATGATAACACGAAACCAAAATATTAAACTCCTAAGAACCACGTACCTTTACAGTTGTAATCGTGATTTCAACTTTGGCCTTTGACCGTCACATGCACACACCTCACACACGTATTGTAGTTATGATCGCAAATAATAATATGGAACATTACATTGACCAACACTGAACACACAATTATATAAACTACACAATGTAGTTGGAAATACTCGGAGCAGTGATACTAGCGGTCCAGACTACTTTAATTATTGGGGTGGACAAGGATATTTCCTTGTGAGTATGATTATTTGAGGGTCAACGATCATAATATTATATTACATTTATATTATTATTATGTATCTATATACTACCTTATACATGACTACACCAATAAACGAGTCAATACGACTATTATAACAGTATTATTTTATCTAAATGACTATAGTATTTAATATAAATATATATATATATTAAATATTTTATATATATATATATTTATCATGTGTGCACATTCAGTGATCTATATAACAATGTAACATATAAAAAAATTTCAACACCCAGAGTTACATTCGACAATAATTATCGAAATTAAAAATACACGTTCCTCGTAATATATTGTTGTTCGAAAGTCGTTCCGTGTATAATATATCGACTCTGAATATATAATATATTGCATATATTATTTTATATGAAACATTATCATAACATAAACACATTATATAATGCTTTTCGTGCGTTTATCAATTGTTTAAAAATCAATTACAAACCTCGGTATCTGATGGATGACGGAATCACCAGGGCCGGATTTGAGCAGTGTCAGAAATGTAAAAATGTAAAAGCAACTGTTGTAATGGTGAAGTATTTAGTATTGATAGTCTTCGGACTAGCCATATTATTGGCCGTCAATGGCATACAGAAATACTACAATATATATATATATATATGTATATAACGATATTAAATTGATTAAAAAATAAATTTAACTATTATATTATAAAAAACACGGTGATATAATATTAATAACGAAACACTACTACAGCGATAATATATACTATAATTAGTATAATGTATTATACTATAATGTGGGCGAGTTAAAAGAAAAATTAATTATAAGAAGTATTGAAAAACAGAAAACAGTAGGTAACGCAATACGGATACGCGTCGCGGTGCGGACGGCGAGGAAGAAGTCGACACGGAAATAAATAAAACGGTATTATTATGATGTAGGTGGAAGCATAATAAAAGAATAATATTATATTAAATTATTATTGAAAATCGTCATCGAGTCGCGGAACGGCGCGGTGTGCGGCCCGGTATCGCAATTGTGACTGCCGCGCGTCGGCTCCCGGTGCTCGGCCACGTTGGATTATCTTCGCGCGCACGCCTTCCATCCAAAACTCGCGGCCGGTCGGCGGGGGGTGTCGGCGGCAGTGGCAACGGCAACCCTACCCCAATCTCCGGGCCCCGAGACGCGCCCGCAGCGGTCGGTAAGCACACACGCGCAACATCCGTCGGCGCGCGCCGATATTATAATATTGTAATAATAGTAATAACTATATACTGTACCCGCCGTCGTTATGAGAATATGAGATACCACTATACCAGTCGCCGACGTTTCTCACGTGGAGTAAAGACGGACGCGAGTGTTGTGTCATGTTGTCCGTTGGTGATGTTGTTGATCACGCTATTCTCATTGTTATAATATTATTGTTTAAGAACTCACGATGATCCATCGGAGCAATACTTACTAGATATGAAAATATTATAAACCTAATTTAGGGAGGTGCTAAAATGGTGGCTAAAACTGTATGTACCTCATTATTAGTTATTAGTTTATTACTTATAAAAAGTCGTTTTTTTAGGGAACACGAATTTAAAGTGGAAGCTGCTGGGCCCCGGCTTTTTGAACTAAGTACGTCTTGCCTTCTGGCTCAAATGTACATATTATGTTTACAAGGTAAAAATTAAAATTTAATTTTAAGAATCATTTAACATTTATCCATATAACACAGGAGGTAGTCACCTTCAAAAAATGTTTAAGTTTTTGTTATTGTATTAAATAATTTATGAAAATTCTTAGTTAGATTAATTATTTATTATTTGTTTTGTATTTCAAAATAATAGTTTTGGAATATTATGAAATCATTATTTTTTACATAAAACTCTCAATCAAATCTAATAGTTATTATCCATATTGATTTTTTTTATATACTATTTCAATATTTTTTACAGATTTTGAAGATTAAATAGGCTACTGCTTAGGTATTACACCCAATTTTATCGTGAATGTATAAAGGACTAATTGAAATTTGACCTTTGAACACAAACTATGTATATTAGGGTGTTTTACTTATAATTGATAAAACAGTAATAATACCAAGTTGAGGAAAATGTTTTCTTAAATCATAATTATAAAAAAAATTTTTACTAGCCATCTTAAGATGCCAAAAATAAACCAATGATTGCTACTTGCTAGTAAACATACAAACACCTCCTTAGAATTGTATTGATGAATTTTATATATTATGACATCAATTTTTAAAACCTTAAAAATAAAATAATTTTATAATGGTTTCCGAGCGTGATCCCATCGAATCTAGTAGACAGTATGATTGTGATATTTTATTAATAAGCAAAAATCTATAGGTGGTTTAAAATATTGCTAAAAAAGCTTCGTTTTTAAAAAAAAAATTATGATTCCTTATTTTGTAAATCCAGGATCCTGCTGGATTACAAATTCACTCTGAATCTAGAAAAATTGTCACTAATACTAAACAGGGTCTCTACAGATCAACCACAAAAAGTTTTGGGTATACATTTTAATGGACTTCTGTCATATTCTTGTATAACTTTTTGAGATTGAGTCCAGCAGACGAAGTCGTACAAGGATTTGATGAAACTATAAAGGCATGATTAACTCATCATCATTTATGGGATACTGAAGGAATTCATCCTATAATACCTGAAGAATTTACTAGATCGGGCGTCTGAGTGGCTACTGGGTATAAATAAACTGTAGGCATATAATAGGATAGGTATATTATAATAATACTTATTAAATGTTGCTTATTGGAATTAAATATTAAACGTGTGGACTGTGTTGTTCATATTGATATAATAAATAATAATAGACTTTCTGATAACGCCGGTGGTTCACAGATACTACTGTCCGTATTGATAAATCTTAAGTCGTGACAGATGCCCCAGTGACCCATTATTCACGTGGGTAAGGGTCAGATGAATAACTTCAAACGATGAATGTCGATGGTCATGTCCAATCAACGTCCGTGACGTCTTGATCAATAAATCGCCCGTACGATTAAACGAAGAAAAAAACCAAGTGGACGACAATAAACTGAGGCCTGCGCTTCAGACACGTTACGCGCGTTTACGCGATGTCTCTGTACACGATACGAAGGACGGCAAACGATCAGCGTTTAGGCGGCATACGTCGAGAACCCACGAGTACAACAAGCGTGACAGACACAACACAAAACGTGATATCACGGACGACAGTACACTTGGCGTGACGAATGGGCCACGATATTGTCTTTACACGATGAAACAAGACGGTCGACGTTCGACCCGCGTTTCGGCGGTGTTTGGAGCGAGCATTCGACTTATTGACGCAAGACTCCAAGAGTGCTGTACGCGTTCGTCCCAAGATCGCGCCACACTATTGAGTGACCGGATGAGCGGCAATCGTAAAATTCAATTTAGATTAATTTGTTAATACATTTTAATGAAAAAAAAATTTTCATATCACATTATCTGCAGATAATCAGATAACAGTTTTATTTATCTATGTAGAATAAAAAAAAAACATTTTTATTTAGAAAAAGCATAACACTGATTTTAGAGCACTTATGCCGGGTTGCATGAAAAATTATTAATTTAATGGCCCAATAAAATTTAATGGACCAATCATAGGCCCCTAAACCATGTTTAAGGGATCATTAGCTCACTTTTGATTCGTTAAATGTTTAGTGATAGTTTATGCAACCCGCGGGCATAAGTGTGTAGAACAAAATGTAAAGTGTGCAGTTTACATTTTCTGCAAAGTGTGTTAAACATAAGGCTTGTCCTCGTTATTGAAAATTAGAATTATTGGATAAAACGTCAAGTTGTTCTGGCAAATAACTACTGTCAATAAACATTTTTTTTATTATTTTATACTGTTAACACTTTATTTCCTATGATCTTCAATATACCTAAACCGGCTAAACCTTATACGTAAGTCCAATATGAGTTGTACAATTACGCATTCATACATATTATATTTCATAAACACTTTCTTATTATTTTGTAAATAATCAAATTAGAGACAGTTCAGTCTAACAACATCGATGTAAAACGATTATCAAGAAGACATATATTGTATCGGTAATCGGTTTACGTATCGTTTTGTACTAAAATTGAGGATTCGGACTTTTTCCGTGACCACAGAATATGAAAAATGTTTATTATTTATATGGAGGTATAGGTTTAATCATTGATTATAAATACTAGTAAGTAGCAAACTATAGAATATTAAATAGTATATTATTGTTATAGTATTTACAATCAATAGTATAATATTTAAGATAGTTAAACATTAACGGATTGTCTCCAATTTAATTATTTACCCAATAATGGAAACAAAATGAATGGTTTCACGATGTTTTCGCTAAAAAATTGAATGATAATATTAATTCTACTTATTAATTATGATTTAAAAGTGTAGTAATTTTAAAATATTATGCTTTTTTTATTTTTATTAGTTTTCAACACATACGTTATTCAAAACATTATGCTTATTAGTTCTTATAATGATTAATACAAATTATGAATAAATTATTATTATAACTTTAGAATCCTAGTTTGGCAGTATTTATGTTCTATTTTTTTGTTGTGTCAAGTGTGTATGGTTTAATAAGATTTTTACAAAATATAAGTACGAATAAATGTTTGATAAACAAATAATAAATATATGTAAGCTATAGGTATACTTTGTATAATTGTAGGTAGATATATACATACCGAATATTAAGCGTGCAGTACAACATCTTTGATATTTTAGACACTGTATTGTACCTATACCTACTAGTATACTGTTTAAGTACGAGTATAAATTGGTCATTGGAATAGAACTACAATACACCTATTTGGTTCTGTTAAAATTAAAATATATTTTAATATTCAAGACGTTTAATGGAAACTAAAATCTCAAATAATTCTGAAATATTCAATGGGATTCCTCCGTTAACTGAAAATGAAATTTTAATTGGATTTTTCGGTTTCCCCTATTTTTTATGTTAAATAAGGTACAACGATATATTATTTGACTCTTGGCATTCATTATACTTAATGTATAGAACTCATGTCACCTGGTCCCTGTATATGGCCTATTGAACTTTATCATTATCAATCATGAGGTAAAATATTTTCAAATAATATTTGAATATGGCAATAACTAATAGTTATACTATTAATTTAAACACATTATATTTGGTGTGCATAATTATTAATTTTATTGTCTTTGAAATACTATGATCAGTTAGAGTTAATTGACTTTTAATTTTAGTATATAATTATATTGCATAAGGCAACGGTCACGTTTAGTTGATGTATAGAGTTTAATGTTAATAGGTATACTATTTTCATAATCCGAAATCTATTTTCTTAAAGCCTAACTTGTATTCACAAGATCAAAACGTTACCCAAGAAGCTATATTGGTCAGGTAAAACTATAAGACGTACACATATAACAATATTACCTGTAAATTGTAATTTTTACTTGAAATATGATTTTATGATTATGATTATGTGATGTGACGTATTTTTTTAGTATACCATAAGAAATAAATAAATCGTGGATCGATCTGTATGATTGAATAAAAATAGATCAATTTATAAATGAAATAATATGAGTTTATAGCTAAAGTTGATATTTGCGTGTGCATGAGAGAAAAAGACACATTTTACTATTATATACCAATTTTTTCACCGTTTATTATCATTAACAATTAGTTATTTCCTTTACACACAATAAATAATATTATAAATAATGATTATTATATTATAGTATTATGCATTTATGCAACACACACAAGACCACGATCAGCACGCGGGAATATTAGTATTGCCTATACAAAACTCCTTACAAACAATATGATATAAGTTGAATCCCCTTAAAAATTAATACCGTATTACCGTCTATAATGTTCTAGTATAATTGAAATTTAATGTGTACATTTTATGCTGCTATACAGTTACACTCATTACACTGTACCCTATTCAAAATAAGTTAGTGCAATCAAGAACGTTTGTGAAACTAAAAAAGAAAATTATGTAGGAAATCCAAAAATTGCGTAATTTAGCATCTTGAAAAAATGTCTTTACATTGCAAATTATAAGTAAATAAGAAAATAGTATTTTGTATATTCACAGCGATGATTCGTTTGGGTTTTAGATACGTATACAATGATTACTATTACATTATCAAGTTAAAATTACTTGTTTTTGTATACTCAAAAGCCACATTTGCACCTCAAAATACTATACTATTGACTCGTAGACAAGCTGGGTTATAATATATAACATTATAACCCAGAATATAACGTCTACTGTGTAATCTGTAAATTATGTGAATAAATATCTACAATTTGTTCATTATTATTTATTATAAATGGTACTAAATCAACTAAAAATTGGATAACCTTTCGAAGGTAATGATTTAAAATTATCTCACGGTTTAGTTCACAGATGATAAGATAAGATATTTTTAAATATGTATTTAACTTTACTTTCCCTTGTTATTTTGTACAGACTTATATCGTAATTATGACAACATTCAATAAAGGGTGAAATATTACACGATTCACAAATGTTGAAAGGTTATTTTTCATTTTTGTTCATTTGTTCATAGGTACTATAGAGTTCTGGCATACATACGGAACAAATTATAACTGGTTTATCCAGGGCACTAGGTTTGGACTGTTTAGAATACTATTTTGAAATATGATGAATCGCCTTAGCAATTCACTAAACGATTTACAAAATTCAATAATCTACATTCTATGTATTAGACGCAATAGTTTTAGACTTTAAAAACTTAACTTATTTCAACTCGTATTTTTATTGAAAAAATATGTTTGGTGAATTTATTAATTTTTAGGAAACGATAATAAAATAAATAAATGAATAGCAAAATTACAACAGTACATTATTCATTATACACAATAAAGTCAAAGTACACAATTTTCATAACATACCTGCGTATAAGTACTCATGATAGTACATGTTAATGCTACCTATATATTAAGTTCATGGAATGGTCGGTAACCACTAATCACAATCTAACAATTTTGACTTACAAATTTAAATAGATACCATATACTTAGGTAGGTATCTACCTATTTGTTAACATCATATATTATAGGTTAGTTGGTACCCATCAGTTATGTATATCTTACAAAAATGGTTAAGAGGTAATAGTTTACATACTAACCATTACAGGAGATACTAAAACGTGATATTTACCACCATAGTATGTGAAAGTTATAAATAACTAAAATGTACCTAACTTGTGAAGTTTCAATTCAAGTAATACAGAATCTCTATTTACAATGGACAACTTTTTGACAGTCATCAATACATCCACATTATATTCTTAAAGCATTTCAAAAAAATTTAATTAGATGATTCAGAAACAGTTAAGCCGCAAACTACAATAAAATGTGAAAATGTATGTTCAAATATCACTCTACAAGTGACAATATAAGGCCTATAAGAAAAAAAATGAACAAATTCAGGATTTTTTTTTGTCAACAAACAGTTCGTCGTTCACATGATAATATAAAAACGGTTAGGATGGTGAAAATTGAATCTTTAAGTTTCAAACTCGATGAAACAGAAACGTCACTTTCAAAACACTATTCTACCTCCACACTAGTTCCAATTTATTTAATCATGTTTTTTTTTCTAAAATAAAGCTTAACGATGCCGAAAATAATCTAGAACATATTTGAAGTTGATGAATCGGAAACACTTAAACTGCAAAATTGAATAATGAGTACAATTTATGTCAAATATCACTCTACATTTATCAATATAAAACCTTTATGATAAAAAATTATAAAGACTGCAGTCTACAACATCAGTATTCCTAAGCACATAGCTGTATTTACAATAATCAGATCATGAAACAACAAATAGTTATAAGGCACTAACAAGTTACCAAATATTAAAAAAAAGTTTTTAAATAATTGAACTAGAGTAAATTATAAAAAAAAATTAGAAGGGGGGCATGAGCGCCAGCTGGCAAATGAGTTTATGGAATCAAATAACAATAATTATAAAAAAATTTTATAACATTCAATTATAAAAATAAAAATGGGAAGGGGGGCATGGCAAAAGCGGGCAAATGAATTAAAAGAGTCAAAAAAAAAAAAAAACTATAAAAAAAATTAGATATAATTCAATTTTAAAAATAAAAATAGGAAGGTAGACATAAGCAGAAATGGAAAAATGCGTTTGGAGAATTAAAAAAAAAGAAAATATGAAAATATATGCTTTCAAAACAAACATTAAAGACCGCATTCTACAATATCAGTATTAATAAACTTATAGCGTTATTTACAATATTATTTCATGACTAAATGAATATTTTAAGGAACCAGCTGGTGATCAAAATTTAAAAATGGTATTTAAGTCATCCAGAATTCATTTTTAAAAATAAAATTGAGAAGGGGGACATGGGCGCCCACAGGCAAATGCGTTTTAAGAATAAAAAAAAATATATGAAAAAAGTTGCATTAAAAACAAACAATAAAGACTGCGGTCTATAATATCAGTATGCCTAAACCCATAGCTCTATTAACAATTATTTAATTATGGTAAAATGAATATGTATAAGGAACCAGCTGGTTAATAAAATTTAAAAATGGTATTGAAGTCATCAAGATTCAATTTTAAAAATAAAAATGGGAAGGGGGGCTTGGGAGCCCGCAGGCAAATGTGTTTTTAGAATCAAAAAAAATAAAAATATGAAAAATTTGCATTGAAAACTAACATTAAAGACTGCAGTCTATAATATCAGTATGCCTAGACTCAAAGCTTCATTTACAACAATTAAATTTTTTTTAAATATATATGTATAAGGAGCAAGCTGGATATCAAAAT